GACAATATTTAGAGGCGTTGATTTTGCGGGTGAAATCTTTCAACCGAGATGGAAAATTGCGAGCCGTCTTTCGTGATGTATGCAAGGGTGGCCGGTCGGACTTTCTCAGTTGCGGTGTTGTTAGAGTAACGTTTCATTCATCATTCTGGGCAGCGTGCAGTTTGCGGATTCTGCATTCGTTTCCGGGTGGCGAACAGCGGCACTTCATTCTTACGGGTTACACCGAATGTGTTGAGAGACAGGTCAAACCAGACGCTGAAGCATTCGAAGCGTGCCAGCTTCTCCAGTGTTCTCTAGTGTTCTCTATTTGTATTTGTTTGAATTTCATGGCCCCGATTTTCCTCGTTAGTCGAGATTCTCAGCTTCCTTCTTCTTTTCCTGTCAGCTCGTCCACGGCAATGAAAAAGGAAATACATCTCGCGCCTCTTGCTTTCTGTGGGATTCGTCGTGTAACGAAGCACCCTGCATAGGCTTTCATAACGCCACTTTCGTACGGAATACAGAGCTTTTCGTAGATCAACTCGTAAATCTTACGTCACGTCGTGGAACTAGCTAGAGCCAAACAATCAAGAATATATTCGTCGAGTATGACTTGCCAAATGTCTCTTTCTCGTTGGTTAGTTGCTTTATATTCGTGGTTCGCGCGAGAAACAGTACATTGCATTTCCAAAGGAATAAACAAAGTTTTAAAGTCGGTAATGAATAATTAAAGTTTTCCTGTACAAGGAAACTTTTCTATATTGTGTATTCCCGTAAGATATTGTCTTTTCTCCTCTCTTAACTCATAATTCTTTTCTATCTAAGAAATCTTCCGCGGCTGTTTTATATATAAATAGGAGAAACGTACGATTTTGATCGAAAGCTTAAAATCGTGTAAGAGGAAGGAAAAAAGAAAACAATAGTTTCCTCATTCTTTCGCTAATTAGTGAGATTCGAAAATCTAATTTGATTAATATTTCCACCCTGTCAAATTGAACGAATGGGAAAAAGTCGATCCATTGTACAATATTTCGACGTTATTTAACCGCCCATTGTGACTCTGTTCATTCAGTTTCCACGTTTCATTACAAAGGAGAACAACGTGATAGACCGTTGTCATCAATCAGATTCCCGTGTCGATGTGCTATCACTCGTTGACGAATTACAAGGAGAATCTTGTTGCAATGCTGGGATGTAGCTCTATTCGGTATGACTGTCGAAGCCGCGACAGGAAGTTGCTTCGCATCTGCAAAATTTAAAAGTACCGCCATCCGTTGTCCAGGATAATTAAATGTCTATTGGAAATTCGTCGGGGATGGCGGCCTTGTCTATCCGCCGACAGTTGATTGAATACCTCGGCGTGATCTCGTTCACTATCTTGAATTACAGGTCTGCTACCGGCAGATCCATTTTATCATCACAATGAACTACTTTCCAGTAGGTTGGCAGACTTATCGTCGCGTACTTAATTAATCAACCGGTATCACTGCCTACTATACCTATGCAGCGATGTTTTTACGACCAAGGTCTTGCGGAATGTGAATCTGCTTCTGACATTTTGTCATTTTGATTGGTTTAGGTATTTGCTTGCTGCCATGAATATTAGACGAAACTTTTGTCAGAGGATTTTCTGAATAGTTCTCAGACTCGCGTTTGGCTTATCTGCTTCTAACACCGTAGTTGGTGGTTTTTAGGATTTATCGTAGAATTTGACGGCTATTCATGATTTCACGATTTATGAATTCCAGTTGATAGCTCGACGATTCGAAAATAAGCCACTTTCGTAAAGCGAACGTAGGTTCGTTCAACAGGACGATGCAGGACCCTGAAACTTGGCAAAATTCACCCATCAAGATTGTTCCTTTCTAACAACTTTTTTCCCGAAATACGCTATTCGTTTTGGATAGAATGCGTCTGTCGCAACGATATCTTTCAATGACGTATTTTCATGTTACTATGTTATAATAACTCTTTTCGTTTTCCCTTGTCATAGTCGATATATTATGTATCTTTATTCGCATAAGATATCTCGCATGAACTGGAGCTATTTCCACAGCTACTTAAGGGTATTGTTCCATGCAGTTTACACATATTGCAACTATGAATAGCGCAACTTCGCCAGCAAGGACGTAAAGCTGCTTTCCAGGGAAAATATTTATTGTTAAGCAACAGCAGACGTGCGACGTACGATATCGAGAGGATTTGCTCGCTGTAGTCGCTTTTTGGATTACTTCGACGTAGAGAGAAATCAGAAGAAGCGTGTTTCTATCAATCGTTCGACATTTCAGTACTTCGTTTGTCTAGGTTTCTCGACGCTTCTCGGAAAAATCGTTGCGCTTTATAGCGCTACGACGAAACGATCAAATTTTTACAAAATTACGCGTACAATGGATCGATTCGCTTTATGATCGACGTGTCCGTCATACATTCTGGCGGGTAGCTGACAGGAAAATCGTAAAATGCCTAGGTAAGGGTTACACGTAAAGCCCGACCACCGTCGGCATTGATGAATTGTTAAAAGCCTCTCTGAATATTCGATGGCAGAATGGAGAATACATGTTTTGTTCTGGATGTGCAGCTGTACCTGTCGGAAACGTGCTATGACAGCTGATTCTGACTGGCTCTTGCCGCGATTTAAAATTACGGTTACCCAGTTGCAAGCTAACTTCAAAATCCAAGACTGTATACGTTTTCGTATTGATATACATATTTACGTTATACATAGTCGGTGGGAACCATATAGCGATGTTGTTAATTATAATGAAGCGCGCTAACATAGATTAGAAGTCGTAAACGTGTTGAAACATTTAAACATCAGGCAGCAAAATTCGTGTAAAAGATAGAAAATTACGTACATTTAGAATTTGCTCAAGCGCTGTTTTATTCGATTATCAGAACCAACTCGAGTGTCAGCGGCGTCTATTTTTGTTGCACTTACATTTTAAAGTGCTGTTTCGGAACTCAAAGCATATAAATTTAAACACCTGACCGCTTTTACCGCCTCGTTGTATCTCTTTCACCGACTGTATGCGTTGGTCTGTTTTTGCCAAGTCCCAAGATATTTGCTTATCAGTGCAGAAAGTTTCGCTATTCATCGTGGCAAAAATTATATTACTTCGATAAGCAACGCTCGAACGCAATTCACCGATTTGCTCTGCTTTGGATTGAATTGGATCGTATCTATATAGAGTATCCAGTTTTATTAAGTATTAAGTTTTATCTTGATAGCGTTGCAGTCAGGGGGATCAACAATAATTTCGCTGTTCTTGATAGCTATATCCCAACTTGTTATAAACTCGTTCGTTCGTGTTTATTGTTTTAAAACGGGAATCAGTTACATAGCAATTTCTACTTCTCATTTATTTGTCTTCAACTTTACCGCTTCTTGAAATTACGAAGATCTAACGACTGCTTGAGAATTCAGTTCGTTACGATCGCTGGAAGATAACGAGCGTCTATGAACAGCGTCTATTATGATCAACTTTTGGAAACAAAGTGTCGTCGCTTTTGTACGAACGTCTAATTCCGAAACTTTAATCAGCTGTTTCTTTAAAATCTATAAACTTCGTAATCTATAGAATCGATTTGAAGCGTACAGTTAAGTTCCATGTTTGTTTCTTCGTGGTATCGATAAATTTGGATGACTAGGATCGTGGATTAAGCAACTACGTATATATCAATAGGTCAGTCTGAAAAGTTTCCACTCGTCAAGGTCTGACACTGATTTGGCCATAAAATCTCGTGGAACAAAACGCGAAAATATTCAGTCTCTCCGCGGCTTTACATGGTTTCGTGCACGCAAAATGGTCTGGTGTGTCGAGGTGTACGATGATTTCTGGAACGAAAAAAAAAAAAAAAAGGGGGAGGCGGATCGATCTCTCGACGTTAAAAAAGAGGCGTAGCCGGAACAGAGACGAAATTGTTGAAAATTCCAATTTCATTTGAAGTACGCCGATGACCGTAAGGGAACAGTGGTCGCAAAATGATTGACTCTAGTCCTTTTCTTTTTCGAATTCACTCAATGTGACGCAGTAAAACGATGGACTCGAGCTTCATTGTTCAGCCGAGTTCTTGATGTCATATAAACTCCAACATGCATTCATAAGTTAATCTTCGTTCTTAATCTCGTGTAAGCATATTCGTATTTATGGTATACGAACGCGAGTACATAATTCAGCGAGAAAATTTGCAAAATTCGCCGGTATCTTTGTACGGAATATTATTTCAAGATTTAAATGTTATTAACAACATAATCCTCATTTAGAAGATCGATCGATATATACAAATAACAATCAGGCGTATTTCAATGATTTAACTTGTGTTAAGTTATATTCGTTATTAACTATTTAAATGTATCAGGCTTGAAATCTGTCCTTCCGTTTCGTGCAATCCCATAGAATGAGATTTAAAGGGGATAGATCAGATGACTGTGAGACAGAGATCATCCAGTTCTTTCTATCCATTGACCAACGATCCTAAATTTTATTTAACAATTCTATTACATTCTAAGGTCTTGCATAGGGATGCCATCAACTAAATTAATTTATACTTTTTAATACTTTTCGATTATTATAAAGTATAACAACTATAGAGAGAAGCACATCGTCTCCAACAGAATGAGAATAGATGGCCTAAATAGCCATCGTAATAGAGTTATATCGACCTATTTTTTATGTAATCCTTTTTGTTTAGAAAAATGCCTCAAATATGCCGGGAAAGTTCGTCGGCTTTCTCTCGTTAAAACAGTAACATTGAAACATAGTATGCACGGGAATATTCGTGGATGCGAGTACCTATAGGATAACTGTCGGGTCTTTTACTTTTTAACGTTCTACCAGAATTGCATACTAGCAGTGGATTCATCGGTTAGACAATTTTGACCTAGACCTTTTGAACGTAATAAAAGCTCGGTTATGTCGATATTGAAATTCGTGTAGACTCGTTTGCTTTTGTTTTTCAAGATTCACGTTAAACATTTATATCGCTTTTCTCTTTATCTCGATTATATGTCAAAATTTATTGTTTGATAAAATAACATACAAACATAAAGATAAAATCACGAAACACGCTATTAACTGTTTGTATTTACGGGTGAATAGTAACGAATGTAAAAGCAAAAACAGAAGAAAACAAGTGGAAAGAACAAGCGAGAGCGAAAAAATGTGTAGATGGTAGACCATTAAGTATGCATCCGAGCAAAAACAAATTTCCTCCGTAATGTTCCGTGCAGCATAAGAGGCGAAATTAATTTCTTGAGGTGGATCTAGTCTTTAGACAGGAATTTTTGTTGCAAGACACATGGAATAATAAATTTTACGAATGTGAGATATAATTTGATAGCGGCTAATACCATAATGCATGTTAACAAGTAACACGTTACAGATAAATGTTCGAAATTGGAATTTATTATCAGTGAATTACGCGTATTGTTAGGGAATCGGATACCTAAATCAAAGTTTGTTAATTTCAATTTATAATTAAATTCCATACAATGTGATGTTATGAATATTTATGTGAAAGATACACCGAATTTCTGTTTTTGAACTTACACGAATAGGGAATTATTATGTTAAGAACGAGTAAATCTTTGCAAAACTTTGATTATTGCGTTGGGTTATTTCGATCTTCCGAGTTTGTATTCACGTTTAGAGGCAGACTGCGAAATGCTTCAGAGCGAATATCACCATGTCAAACTGCAGGAAGTGCCTACTGCTTTAACGCGACCAAATTGCATCCGGTGTGCGACACACGCCTCTTTCTTTTTCAATTTATAAATATCGCAGCACCGCTGCGTGCTCTGCCAAATATTTGGATCATAACCAACTGCAGTTCATTCACAAATATCAAAAGCTCCTATATCTAGGAAATATCGGAATTATATAAATACAGATTACGACAAACATCTTCGGCTTAAATTCGACATCAACGAAATGAGAATATATTAAAGCCATCAAAGATCTATTTAAAAGAATTCTAATTATACCTATTATTTTTATTACGCGAATATTTCAGACATATCGCTATCATATAGCACGAGAAACGTTAAATGTTTTATTCATATTGTAAAAATTCAATTTATACGTCCTGTCTTTTGTAACCATGCAATTTTTTCATCCTGAACACTGTTGCTCCTGAGCATATTAAATTCAGATCAGTTTCAGCGCGACGATGTTTCATATTCTGCCTGTAATATGTCTTCCTAAGTATTGGTATGGCATTTTTAACGCGTGGAAAAATCATTGTAAATTCATGGACTTTGTGAAACCCATGGAAATTAAATAGAACGAAAAAAGAAAAAGGGAAAAAACAAAGGAAGGAGAAAACAGTGATTCGAGCAAAAGTGACATGTTTACGCGCATAGGATTGTAATAGCGTTACTACATAACATAGAATTTCCCGGATAGCGTATCGTTGATATTTTATTGGATTAATTCTGTGCCGGGTCCATGCATCATAACGCCGGCTATCTGTATGTATCGTGCACTCTGTATCAGACTGTAATTTTGTCGCATAAATTTTATGTCAAATTTACGATACGCTGTCCACGGCGAGGAGAACTAAATCGTCTAATGACAAACTGCCTCCGTTATCGGCGCGACTTTGCTCAATTATTTGTTGGCGATGTTCACACGTGTATTATCGAAAGCTGCAAAGATTTATTCTTACGCGATCGCCTTTATGCCGTATTTCATCGATACCTCTTCGATTTTTCTGGTTCAATTAGTTTAATGTCGAATCTTCCAGTCTAGTTCGCAGTCGTGGAATACGAAATTAATTTTGAATAATAATTTATAAGAAACGATATCTGAAACTTAACGGGAATTCGGTTTTACTGTAAAATTTACTCGAAATCGATCGCAGTTATTTTGACAACGCGTAGCTGTACGTTAGCGAAAAATATACATTTGCAAAATGATAACGACAAAACGGTGGGCTTGTTTTCAATACCTTACAATTAGTTACAGGCTTTTGCACTAAACGGAAATGTTTTCGAAATGCTCGGTTTTTCACACAGCTACAGTTTTACACAAATGTTTGAAAATTAAACAAATCGTTAAAAAATTAATGACACGAATACCACGCGTGGTTTTATTTCTAAAGTTGGCCGTGGTGGCCCAGTTTCATCCATTTTAAACGAAAATAAATCATCGATATTGGTAAATTGGATAATTAAGCCCAGAGGTCAGCTGTAACTGCGATTGTTCCTTTTCGTTGCCAAATATGGCACAATGCACACGACGATATAACGTAGAACGAAGAATTGAAAAAGATAAAACATCGAAATTCGTTTCGATGTTCGGGCCGACAGAATCGTAACTGTTATAAAACAGCTTGCAGTACAAGAGCGCAGCGAAACGGATAGGTTGTAAATTAAAGTGAATTAGTTAAAAAGAGCGTTAAATCGGCCAACACAGCCAGCTATGTTGTTACTTTATGGTTTTCGGCTTGTATCCATGATCACACGTTCGGTTCATTGCATCTGGCAATAACAGCTGCTGGAGCATAGCGATCACACGTAGTTTCACACTTCGGTTTAATACTGGTACAACAGGCTTATAACGAGAGCAGTCCGAGTTGTATTACGTTCGCATCTAGTACCTGCTTGTTTCAGGCTCGTTTTGATTTACGACGCTCGTTGCTTTACGGATTTGTCGTTATCAGGCTATGAGAACGCAAAGAATCCCAGCTGTTGCTCACACCGTCAACGATCCTTCATCGAACTCTTTCATTTTCATGCCTTTTTCAATTTGGTTTCCTTACCACGATACATCCATCGTTATCGGTCGTCCTCAGCGTTTCAACTTATCATCTCATTGCCTCTGTTTAATCGACTACGCAAAGAACAAATGTCACGACCCACTTGTGCCTCGTCCCAGAATATATCATGAAACTCGATTTTGAATTGAGAAGAAGCGCGAGTCACATGCAACGATTCACCCTTGTTTCACCTGATTTTTCATAACTTTTGAGCAACGTGCGATATATTTTGATTAGGGTTAACGGATGGGACGAACCGTTGTGAAACAGTAATAAGTAAAATAAGAAGATAGCGCATGTATCTGGAGCAATAGGTGTGTAAGGGTGGGAGGTGGCGGTGCTATCAGTGTGCCACGGCGCAACCGGACAGGCGTTTCACGATGGGGGTGGCTGGATAGAGGCGCCTAACAGTAGCTGAGTCGCATGATCCCTTCACTCGGGTCCGCACGGCTACCGTCGTCTCTGCTCGGCTCTCCGATCGGATCTCCGTGTTTCGAAGAAGCGCTTGGCGAGTTTACCGAACCGTTCGTGCCACTGCGCTCGCATTCGGTTGCGCGAACTCTTCTCGTTTTCGCGCGTGCAACTATCTCCTCTTTCCTCGCTTGTCACTCGCTCGTCTCTTTGTTACATCGTTTACCGCGCTCCGTTCCGGTCGTTTTTATCCGCCACGCGGCGAAGACGATGACGTTCGCCAGCGATCTCACGGATTCGTGACGATCACCGCGTATCGTTTGCACAAGGCGACTATATCCTTGCACGCATGTACTTTTGTTCGTTCAGTATAATCGAACGAGGAACATAAAATTATTAACAAGTGTATACAGTGTTGCTGTCGATATTCTGAAAAGAAAAGTGTATTGCTGTTGCGTCACATGTTGATCTTCGTGATCTTGCGACGAATCTTCGAACGAGCTGCTCCTCGTGTTAAGAGTATTCGATTAATTCGATTCTCTGGAATGAATGTATTGTGAAAGATTGGGGAGAAGAAAGAACATAGTGTATCGCAGTTTATTCACGGCTCTGGGTGGCTTGCCCGCCTTCGTTGGTTTTCCCGCGATTTTCGCAGCCACCATCAAGGATGCGAGTCTCGTACATTTTCGAGGAGCATAAGCTTCTAGTGAAACTTGGTAATCGTTAAAACAGGACCTCCAGGCTAAAGGATCGTTAAATTTTAGATGAATAAGGAATCTGATTGCTTCTAACGAAAGAGAAGCGGAGCTTCGATTCTACAATCGTAAACCGCTGCCGAGTTACCACAGATGATGTATATCGGAAAGGAACTTGAGCGTGAACACGATGTCGTTTCTTTCGAATTGGTCATGATAAACCAACGAACAAAAAGTTAATTTTTCGCTATACGGTAAACGAATCGTGAACTGATCGCGAGTGAATAGCACAGACGTTACCTACACGAACCAATATTTGATTTCGATGATTCAAGTGGTAATACGTTTGTTCAAGCCACATCTGTACCTGTGAACGTCGTAATTGAACATTTTCCGTAAAGAAGATTTTCGAGACGGGAATAATCATCGAATGGAAAATACAACGAATCGTAATAGCTAAAATAAAAAATACTTTTAAATATCGCGGCAAGCGTTCAAGATGTTCGATTCATTAGGACCGACTGGTTCACTGATTAGACGAAGCTGTAGTAGCGACTTAAAGCTAAAGAAGAGTATAAAATCCCTTTGCTGAGCGAAATTGGCTAATTAAAGCAGTTCATTTAGCATTCCACCGTGAGATCGGTTAATGTCGCCACGGTGGAGGGATCGAAGTAGCTACGGTTATCCGTCTGAGTGGTGTTTGCGTCGGGATATACGGCTACAGATCTGACGAACAGCTGGGAATCGATGAATCGTTTTTTCCCTGGCTAACGTTTCCTTGGCACAGGGATATTCGTTGAAAGGGGGAATGAAGGGCCATCCGGACAGCACGTAGGGACTGGCCCTTCTCGTTTTCGGAGATGTGGCGCTATCTACAGTACACTATCTTCGGGCTTACCGTCATCCTGCTGACGATTCATGAGATAGTCCTCGTGCGAGCTGGCGAACAAGGTAATGACAGTACATGCGTTTTATCTTTCGTTACAAGGACGGCTAATTTTTCGGAAAAGGAAAGGACAATTCTTAAAATATATTTTTGGAAATGTCAATATTCCTCTTGCATAGTTTTTAATGGTAACGATATGTGATAATTTAGCGTAATATTAGAGAATCAGAAATGTCACGCGATTACTTTCTTATTGATTTCTTTTGAACGAGAATATAACATTTTGAACTTTTCTATAGATCAGTAAAAATGGGATATTGAAGTTGCAAATTTTCATCAATCAAAAATTCGTGTTTGGTCCGTTAAAACGTAATCAAAGTAATTTACTTAAGTATATTTGATGTAATTACTTTACTCGTAAGAACGAACAGCATACACGAGTAAGAAGAAATTAAGAAATAATTGTAAAAGAGAAAAGAAAAATAGGTTGGCCGAAATTTAGCGAAGTGAAAACAGTCAGGCTACGAATACTTATTTTGCTTCATTGGTCAATAATTGAACGTGTACCGAGGGCTGTACGTTTGTTTTTTCGACCAAATGAGCAACGCCTATACGTCCGTATGCGCTTTCAATTACTTCCTATCAAATAATTCTATAGCGAACATTTCTGCTCTGAAAATTTTTTTTTATTGTCACTACGCGATTTTAATTCCATAACGTGCAAAGCTGTCTGCGGAAAAAGCGGCACTGCGATTGAAAGGTACGAAATTCGAATATTAATCTGTCCATTATAAAATTTATCGTAAAACAGTGAAATCAGGAAAGGAGTATCTATAGAGTCGAAATTTATGTTAAGGAAATTTTAGCGAACTACGTACAATCAGGACAGATGTATTTGATATAAAACGTAGAATTCGCTACAGAAACGATATATTTGGAGAAATTTCAAATAAACTTTGAATTCACCGTAATTAATTAGCAATTAATAAGTTTGTAGGTAATAAAAATGCCTTAGGCATTGCAATTATCAAAAATAATGATTTATTTTCTTCTCTCTCTTCGTATAATCCTCGCGTTTTTAAATATTTCTTTCGCGTGTGTTTATTCAGATATTTTATAATAATACATCTTTCGAGAACTACGTCAACGGATGAGAATGTACTAATTAAAGCTTCCGCGTAACAATTTTATAAAAGTTGTCAAACGCCACCGAGAAAAGTAATTTGTACGCCTATATAAAATATATTTTTACGTGACCTGATTATGCGACGCGAAATGTATCACGAGTAAACTTTACCATTAGTCTTTTTAACTTCCTTTCCAATCGTGGATTATTTTAATTTGGTTCCCACCCACTTTAATTATTATTACTAATTCTGATGACATGAACTGTTAATCGATAAACTTGAATTAGTTCTTGTAATTGTTGTGAAACTTCCGTCGGTTGATCGAACGATTTCCAATATTTCACGGTCTGCGTTTCGCATGTATAGTTATCGCGAAGTGTGTAAGACATCGACGGTAATGCAATTTCCTTCTGTCAGGAATGCTATTTATCAGAAATTTCTTTTTCATAAATACGCGCTACCAATCCTCCCTTCTTGACACAATAGATGAGTATTGTATCGTTGATTTATTTCTTTTGTGTTGCTAAGTGGAACAGTTTTTAACGAAACAATATTTTCCGTAGGTGATGCTTCTATATAAAATTAAATTCTTGATCGTTCGCCGTGTTTCCGTTTTTCCTCGCGTTGCTTTCTAGTTTAGATCTTCCAAACTTTCCATTAACAGAAACGAAGTTCTTTTAAGCATCGCAATTATCTCCAAGAATCGAGAAAGAATAAACCGAGAAATTTGATTAAGAATGTTCACTTCCCACCAGTTTTCCTCAGATCTTCGCTCTATGATTCTGCCTGGTCAGCGTTGCAATTTCACTAACAGAATTATCTGTAAATCCCTTTAATATTTGTACTTGCTAGTTAGCAGTAGATAGGTATGTTTGGTTTTGATCAGCCACAATGCGTGAACGAGAGTATGCACAGTTTCGTATATGCGCATATATACCACATATTGACGCGTTTTAGTAGCGCAATGCAAATTGTAATGGCTTTACAGTTTCATAACAAAGTTACATATATGTACAATCTATTCAACTTTATGAATTATAAGTGTTCGCTTGGCGTGTGCAGCGAAGCTGAAATCAATGTTTCCTTTTATCAATTTCGCTAGAGATTTCCAATTCATTTCTGTGTTATTCACTTTCCTCGTATTTCGTTCCCTTTTTTCTTTCCTCGTTTTTCACTGAATAAGGAAGACGAGTAACGAAGCAAAATTTTATACCGAACGTTGAAACATCGGTTTTGTGTAAAACACATTCGCATATAGACCCTTTTCTTCGTAATTTTTTTTATAGCCATTTTGTATTTCTAGCAGAAACCATTTGTTTGTTACATTTACTTGTTCAAGAGGATTCTACTATTATCGTAGCAAAGAAATTTATCTTTCGTACTACCTTTTAAATTTTCGCCAGTTTCAAATAGGCACAACCAAATGGGAAGTATCCATCGTGGAGGCGTTGAGAAACTTTTTTCAAGATCTCTTTAGCTCTGTTAGAATTCGCCGGTGAGCATTCTCAACTCAATTTGTCGTAACGAATACCGTTCGTAACAATTCTTTTCGTGTAGTAGAGTTAAGCGAGCAGGATCGTGTTAAGCTGGTGAGTTTCGCGAATCGATCAAATCTGCGATACGTTCGCCATCGTTTTGTTCGTTTATCGATACAATCGAATCCTATTGTGAAGCTGTGACCGCAACATCACAGTCGGTTGCTAGAAGATATATGTATTAATCTGTCGTTTATTTTCATTGTTTTCCAGCAGAATGATCTTTGACGTTCATTATCGTTAATCTCTTATCTACTCCTGTTTGCGATTGTAACACGCGAGTCAATGTTGCAGATGCGATCGATGATCCTGAAAAACTCGTAAATTTAATACTCAGCAAGCCAACCACGTTTTATTTTCGTTCTAAAAGAACGAGTGTCGTTTTGGCCAAACAATATTTCCGAGACCAAAACTATGAGTCCAATGCGATGATTAGTATATCTGGGAATGGTCACACTAAATTGCCGAACTCGCATAAGATCTCGTAACTTGTATTTCAGATATATGTATAGAAAATAACGTAATGGTGGAAAGCTTTGCAAACAGAATACGAGTAAGTTTTACTCGTACGCATTGTAGAATAAAAATTGTATTTCACAAAAGAGTTTGTCCTACATATTCTGTGCAGTATCATTATATCGCATGTACCACGTGACAATTTATGTTATTGGCCTTGTAATGGTGGAATAACCATATTTTTGGCAGATGTTTTTACACGTTGGTACATGGAAATTACAATGTTGCTTGTTTATGATTTTTCACGACTCGTAAATGTTTTGGTACTGTTGAAACAAATACGAATGAATAAGATTGGGAAGATTGGCTTTTTGAAATATCACAAACAGAAAATGGTAGAAAATGAGTTCACTGGAATATTTATTCGATCGTGTTGCTCTGTAAAGCTGCTGTCGATTTTGTTATTTAAAATGTTATTATTAAATGGATATCGATGAAAGGATTGATGTAAATTTTGATTTACTTTCGATTTCACCTATTCACGTGGATTCGCTAGTAAGGCTAATTTAATATTCATATCGAACTGGATTATTCAAATTAAACATTACGTGCACTCTATTAAACATAATTGTCGCGTTAAAATGTTAATCTCGATACATGTAACGCGTAAAGTGCATCGATAGCCATGGTGAGGCGAAAAAGGGAGAAAGTCATCGGCCAAGCTAAAATTTCACGATGGTTCATGGCTCTTGGACAATTAATTTCCCTCCATTACACGAGCCGTGCGGAAGATTAATAAACTTCATCTCGTCACGCTCGTAACGCGGTGTGCCAGCTTAGTTTACCTTGGAGTTTATCTACCAACGAGCATAAATGCTCGCAATTTGTTCACGCTTGTACCAGATAGTGAGGTAATAGAAACTTCATCGTGCATCTGACGCCGTTGCCATTGTTTGTGGTTTAAAACTAGCCCTCGTAGCTTTCCTCTAATCACTCGATTAGTTGTAATATCGTGGAGTAAACCAGTTAAACACAACGAATTCATCACGCTACTTACATGTATACAACGTGAAGCTGACTGTGCAAAAATTTTCCTCGTGATACCGTCTTATCTGCGAAAATTAAGCCGAGTTCGAGTACGGTGGCGAGGAAGGGGCTGCATTACGTCAAATGAAAAAAGTTTTATTCCGGGAACTTTGGATAGGAAACTTTCTAAGGAACACATTTGATTATATGTCACGGTATCTCTTTTCCCTTCCTCTGTCACGCAGATATCTCGCTCGTAAGTTTGGAACTTCTCTTTTCCACCGTTTTGAGAACGAGTCTCGCGTGTCAGGAGCTTCTCTTTTCGTTCGATCGGATAAAAATCGACAAATATTTTTTCCACGACAGGCTAAAATCGGATCGTTCTACTCGCGAACGATGTTGGAGACTGTCCGACAAGATTGTCAGCAGTATCTGAACAGTTCCCGAGACTCACGTTCACGAGAACGTAATGTTCCAAGAGATCTCAAGCAGATAACGTGTATCCAATTGTTTGAAGTAACTGACGAGAATCCTGGGTACAGAGCCCGGGTATTAGACACTGGACACTTAACCATCGCGGAGAACGTATTTCCGCGTACTTTATCGCAATCGAAACAGATTGCGGGGTAATTGAATTGGATAACGATAAGATGAAAGTAATATGTTACAATAATTGGACAGAATAACATACAGTGTGTTATAGCAACGGAGAATAAAGCTGCGCTCTTGAGTTTTCCAGTTTCATTTTTAATTACTCACTATTTGTTTCTAGGATGGTTAATAGAGTAACGATGAAAGATATGTTTTATTCTTAACGTATTCTAAGCGATTCCAAATTGTTTCTATTTGCCAATTTCTAATATAAAATGATGTTAAGAGGGAAAGAAAATCTTTTGAAATTACATCGTAATTTATCGGGTG